CCCCCCCCCCTTCCCGTGATGAATAATGAATAATGACGGGTCCCCTACCACCAGGCGATGATGGGGAGGAAGCTTGGTAACGACACTGCAAGCATGAGGTAACGCCAGTTTGGTATTAAATAAGCAAGTAAAGCGAGAAAACATCCACCAACGGTTAGAAAGAGGAAGTTGATCATGCCTATGTACGAGCGATGAGCTGTGACAACCATTTCCACACAATACACGAACCGCACCAATAAACAACCAACGGTCCCAGCCCCGGCAAAGAAGCGAAACAGAGAGAACAGCGACAGACAGTCCGCGACAGCGGAGGCCGAGGCGAAAGTAGCCTGTGAATAGGAAAAAAAATGAAAGTTAGTCATCATCGTCATAGAATTGGTCGTACTGTAGTAAAACGACTACAATCAAACCTGTATTAAGCGGCATTTCCACTTCCCACGGGGATAGCGGGGTGAGCGCTTAATGCAGGTTCCGGCACAGATTTAGGGTTTTATAAAAAACGATAAACGATGCCAATCAATACCATAATTGACCATGTACAGAATATTGCTCAAAAAATACTTCCTACTTTGACTTTGGGAGAGAAACATGGCATCAAAAGTCCAGCTTTCCAGAACCGTTCAATACCGGTGGAAAATAATTAAAAACAGGCCGTTGGGAACGATTAATAGAGGTGAAAATTACAGAGATTATGGGAAAACAAATTCGGGACTTTGACAGCTGATCGCTTAATACAGGGTGACCGCTTGAGACAGTGCCCCTTGATATAGGTTTTACTGTACCTGTTACTTACCAGAACTCCAACGCTCAAGAAGAATGAGAACTTCCTTCCAAAGTGATCCGAGATGCTACCAAATGTGATTGCACCAACGAAGAGACCAGCCATAAAAACAGCTTGAGTCATGGCTTTCAGGTGTCGGCGGTCGCAGATTAGATTCCACTGAAAATATAACAAATATAACAAACATGACATATAAGAGAAGAAAAAAAACTGAGGCCTTTTGTTTTCATATCACAATTATCTTGAGTGCACTACAAGCATTTTGGGTTCTCTACCTGCCAGTCTCAATAGCACTTCGCCTGGACTTTGCTGTCTTTTACAAATACAAATATAAGAATAAGCTTTACAGCAAAGGAATTTGGCTTCAATACGAACAGTCGGTTGACATTTGTACTGATGTTGTTAGGACCCCACAGGAACCTTTCATGCTGAAATTAGCCTCGTTTCTAACCTATTGTAAATTACGTCGCAGATTACGTAAGATAACACGCATAACTTGGTTTTTTCAACCACCACTATGGATCAGTTTAAAGCAATTTATCGACACTGGCGCAAATTGCGCCATGAAATCAGCAGTATAGCCAAGTTTGGGAGCAATTTGTCGAGAACCGATGGAAAAAGGGCCACGTGGCGAAATTTTGCGAATGTCCACACACGTGAAGGTGAGGTTTGTGTTCCCTACCTAAACAAATGTTGGTTCGAGTTGTGAAGCTTTCCGACTTTTCAGAGTTATATAGTCGTTAGTTCTCAACATATCGTTCTCAAATTCGGTAATTTTTACTCATTTTATGTAACTAGTCCGTACAGTGTCGAGAGATTCTCGCTAACTGATCCACGTCAAAGGTTGATAATACCACGAAAGGGTTTATTTACTAGAGAATCATTAAAAACACTTCGACGCAAATTCAAGAACACTTCCTCGTAAATACCGCAAATACTCAAAGTCATGGAGCTAAATCAAGTAAAGTTACTTCTCGGCAATCTTCGGTAAACAAAACATGCATAAACATTATCATACTTGAGAGACAGCGCTGGTAAAAGGGCCACGGAATTCATACTCATGGCAACTTGAACAGCAACCAGAGGCACATGTTTCATTTCTCGACGTCGAAACACAGACGAAGGGAGGCGAAGCGCCGTAAAACACCTGAATTAAGAGTTGAGCGCCAGTAGGAATAGAAACCAGACACATAAAAGTGTAGAGAACCATTTGATAGCGACCGAAACCACCGGTTATTTTGAGAAGGTCATCGAACTCGTGGATTTTGATTTCCTTCGTAGATCGATTCTCAGTTGATTCCTCGGGATTTTCTACTTCATCCATTTCCATTTCGTTCAAAGGAATGGTGTCTGCACCCAGGGATCTAAAAGAATGTATATGAACGCAATAACTATGGCGAGAAAGTGGCAGATATTGAAGCAGTCATCATGTGTTAGTGACGTGACTTGCCAAATGTAAACAGTACCCAGGTCACGCAACAAGCTCGGCTGGCCTGGGCCTTTAGTCCCATCACACAACGCAAGGAACAGAAGAGCTGCGTGACGGGACCAAACAACCTCTTTGAAGGAGACTGCGGCTTCTCTGGAGAAAGACTGTGGTTCACATCCAACTGTAGCGGGTTTACCTCGAAATCCTTACTCAACATCATTTTACACGGTCTAGCAAATTATGTTTCAAAGGCAACTTCGCCTTCTTCTTTCTTTCTTATTTATGGAGATCAACACCCTCTATGGGAAAGAAGACTGAGTGACACAACTACTCATTACACATCACGCCAGCTTGCAGAGTGACATTCGGTCGGACTATGAGTTTCTGTAGTTTAAGAAAGTCTCCCTTCCTATTATAGGATCAATTCTGTTTGAGGTTGAACTTGGCCTATTTATTTATAAAATAAAAAAAGGCGAGATAGCATAGGATACTGGGATGGAAAGCTGAGCGCCGGTGGGAAATGAAACCAAACAAACTAAAGCAAACAGAGTCAGTTGATATTGACCAAAACCTCCGGTCATTCTCAAAAGATCGTCAACATGATACTTTATGTTAATCGACTTTTCTTCCCCAATATGCATTAATAAAGTATCAACTAACAAAAAGCCCTCTTATCCTCACTTTGCCGTCTACAACGCGAAATGAAA